TTTTATATGAAGATATTTTAGAGAACTTGTCTTTATAATGATCTTCCAAACAACCCTCTATATGTGCTCAGATACCAAAGCCTGTAGACAAAACCATTACTCTAGATAGCCAGACAACTAAATGGCTTTTCAGCACTAGAAAAAGTTTTTCTTTTTTTCCTTTAATCAGTATCTCATCAAAGATTTACATTAAGATCTCCCGACAATTTACCTGAATCAGTTGGCCATGATGAAGAAAGAGCATTTCTTCAACTCAGGAAAGTCATTTACCAATCTACTTTGTTCCATACTTTGGTGAATACTCTATCACTTAGCAAATCCAAAACAGGGCTCAAAGTTCACCATTTAATTTGTCAACATGGGGAAAAAATACTAAAGTTGAAAGAAACACTTTTAGGTTCTATCATAGCATTTAAAAGATCCATAATAGTACCTAAAGACCAGCATATATGGGAGAATCTCATGCACTGATACAAAAAGTACATCCAATACCAATAAGAATGTTAAATATTTGTTCATATCATACGGCAAATTATGTAAACAGGGGATTGTAACCTTTTCAATGAGATTGAAGTGGACCTTTATCTCTTCTTCTAAAGGCTCATAGCAGCTATGAAAATTGTTCTAAATTTCAGGTAACTTATTCATCAAATATAATACACGAGTAAACTTATTCTTGTCATTTTGCAGACCTAGAAATGTTGTTTCCAAAAGCACAGATATAAAAACGGTGACACCCATGTGCCAACCCTCAGATAAGAATGATAAATCAGCGACTCTTCCTTTAGTCACCATTATCATTGACATAGTAAGACCAATGGAAACAGACAATTAAAGCCAAAGTTAATGTTTTTAGGAAAACTATCTAAACTATCAATGCACCATAGGATATGAGGACTCAAGAAAGATATTGAACAGAAATAAAAACCAATTCCACTGTTTCAGAGTTATTACAAATAGGCACAAGTCTAGCCTTTCCATCTTAGAAGCCAAAAGGTTTGAACACTAGCAGTAAAAAGATACACACTAGTCCCTTTACACATTTGCAAAATGTTCTGAATTCTCCAAACATCAAACCTAGTATCTCTCAAGAGTGTCTTTAGGACTCAGATACACCATAGATCATGTCTCAAATCTTCACCACAAAAATTAATAGATTCACTAAATATGGGCACACTATCATATAAATCAATCCAGCTTACTTATTCTGAACTCTTAACCTTGAGAGGACTCGCATTATATGAGTTCTATGCAAATTCTTCACCCATTTTCTTAATCTTACTATTTGGCAGTAGCCTACTGGGACATCAACACTTTATTTTCTCCCATGTCACCACACACAAACATATATGTAATGCCTCAATCCTTGTTACATTATCTTTTGACAGGTCACAATTACAGTACTTACGAAATAATGACAGCAACTTAATTTGATTTACAATTACCTGCATCTTATGAAGGAGCGTGTCTTTTTTTTTTCCTTTTTAATTGTTCAACCTACAGCTGTAATAATAGGTGTTTCTATTTTTGCCAAGACAGTAATACAAAACCAAACAAAAATTACGATATACTGTTAAATTTGCGATATAGGTCATTTGTCTAAGATTAAACTAATCTATTCCAGCAGTGCAGGTTCTGCCACTGATTGATCACAAAGTGATGGATATAACAAGAGCGATACAATGATATATTCGTCGGTATCCAGCTAACCCAATCAGGGCTTCTTAAGACTATAAGAGATCAGCCAATTCCTACCACATGAGGAGCCAAACGGCTTATTTCTGTTCAAAACTAACATGCCATTTTAAACAGAAATAAAACAACGTAGCTCAGCTTTGAATCCAGGTATATAGCAATCAGAATTTAATACATGACACTATTAATAACCTAACAACCATAATAAATCAACCTCTTTCACTGCAGCATTACTTGTGGTTGCCGAAGAGCAAACTCTCAAATTAAGTATCCCACTACCATCTACCAAAAGCAACCACATTAGTAGTCTCTGTGAACCTGTGTTCTAGAATCTCTTGAATGATGATCTCTTTCCAACATCCAGATATACAAATTATAAGCATATGCACACGAAACACATAGACTAGAGAAACCACAACTATAGAACACATAAAAGTCGAAACTTGAATTGGACAATGCAGTGTCAAAGAAAATAAAGTACAAGTAAAGTACCAGCCTGGACAAGAGCATCCCAGAGTTCCTCAGGCAAAATGCAGCCATTATGCTCTACATCAATAGCCTGAAAAATCCTATACAACTCCAGCTCCTTATCATCCATATACTTCCTAAACTCCTGATAATCCACTCTTCCATCTCTATTAGCATCACAAACATTTAGCAGCTCCTTTGCAAACTTATACTCTGCTGGAATTTGCAGAGCTGAAAGGCCCTTCTCAATTTGGGTATAGTCCAAGTACCCCACATTAGCTGAATCAAAAAAATTAAATAAGCTCTTAATTCTTGAATCCCTTTCCTCCTTAGTCTCCCTGAGAGCTGCTAAGACATGGTCCATTGAAACCGGGCCGGGTTTCTTCACAGGATTGCAGCATCCGGACGGGTCATTTGTTGCCATTGCAGGGAAATTTACATGCCCCACAGCCTCTCCAGCCCCAGACATGGACAAAAGAATTCTGGGTTTATCAATTTCACCACGAGTCTCAAGATGTTCAACGTTTTTGTAGATCTAGACATCCAACCCGTAAATATGATGAATTTATTGAATTTACAGACGAGAAATGAATTGGGATACCAAATGCGAGAGCGAAGAATATTTATAGTTTAATAACTAACGAATTGGGTTGAAGAAAGTGGAGTGAGAAGAGGTGAAAGAAGAGAATATCTGGTGAGGATCTCCTTCCAGGAAGATCCGAAGGGTTGACCCGGTTTGCTAAACAGGATCTTTACTTGTGGTTTCGGGTCAATAGAAAAAAAAAAAAGGAATAATATATACTAAGAAGAGTGCCAAGTTTGAAGGGGTAAAAGTGCAAAATTGCACAAGCGTGTTTATTACGAGGGATGCTTGGAAATGGTAGTCGCTTTATTCTTCCGGGATGGCCGGTGGAAATTGGGACGGACAATTTTTTTCTCTTTTTCTTTTTGGCAAAGAAACAGTAATGGCTGGCTGGGCCTGTAGTTTCCGACAGAAAGGAGGGAAGCGGGGACAGTAAAAATTGTAACCGAACGGAAATTGGAAGATGGAGGCTTGGAAAGGAATATTGGGATTTCGGGGAAAATGGCCAAATTGGAGGTTGCAAATTGAGGAGACTAAGAAGGTAAGGTCATTCTTTTTAAAAAAAAAAATTTTCCCACTTTAGTAATAAAAAATTTAGATGAGTTTGATTTCAATCACCACCACCGTGGGTGATAATATGATTTCGGAATCACCAATCATTTACATGCGTTTTCGAATCATTGATCGGCATTTTTACAGATGACGTTCGTACATATCCTTATCAATAACATTTTCATATCAACAGCGTAATTCAAACACGAGCTTTTTTTTTTTTTTTTTCTAAAAAAGTGATACGTCCTTATCAATTGAGTCAACTTATTACTACATTGTTGCATGAGTGAATGAAATATATATGCCCTTACCATCAAGTTTTAGTATTGCCAATGTATACAGCTTCAAACTAGCATATACGTTAATGCAAAATGCAATTAGTATTATTGATTGGGAGGGGGGCGGGGGGTTGACGATGACATGGTTGTGGCGGGTGGGGACGGAGATGGCAGGCTGCAATCTTTAATGTACGTGTGTCAAATATGTATTGTGCATTTGAGGGGGGTTGAGCGAGGAAAGAAAAGTGGAGTCCAGGATTTTTTCCAATGTGTGTGGAAGGAAGCCTGGAAGGTTGGGATGCTGGCAACTTGAGAATGGATGCATTGTTGGATGGAGATTGGAAAGGTGATATCATGGTGGGCCAGCGAGTTGGAGACCATTTCTGAAAAGTTTGGGCTCGAGAACCTCTCGTTTTGACATTTGACCGCAAGTATTTTATTTGACTGGATTCATTAAAGTTGCTGTATTAAAAAATTGATGGCACAATTATCAAAAAAAAAAAAAAAAAAAAAAAAAACTGATGGCACATCTTTTACATTTATATGGGCATTCTTCTCTTTCTACTTTACCAAATTGAGATGATTAAAGCGGTTTATTCCCTTGCTTTTCTGTGGGCGGCGAAGAGAAAATTTGGTAAAGAAAACCAGAGAGGATGATAAAACGCAATGGTAGTAACTGTTCCCCTATTCTAGTTCTTTTTCTCATTTTCCAGTTGGAGCCAGAAAGCAGAATTACTACCAAAAGAGACATTGCAGAATTCGCGTCTGATCCGGTCTTAATTTGGAAATTGGAGCCATTGCAGCATCACTGTTTTAAGTCCTAATCAAACAAGACGGAACTTGTTCCACGCCACAAGCCTAATTCGCCTTGTTTGATCGATCGCTCACTTTAATACTTAAATTTAATGAATTTAGATATTAATATATTCAGATGCGTTTGATAACAAAAAATTAAACATCTAAGTAGCACTGAATTTTTTAGACAAAACTTGTTCCTAAAAAATAAGTGATAAGTTATTCACTTATTATTATCTCTGAACGTGATATATACTCAAATTTATTTGATTTAATAATTTAATAGATTCAAATTTTAGATTTCAGTTTTGAAATTTTAGTTTTATCAAACGCCACCCTAAGTTTACAAGCCTAAGCATGAAGAGGGGATTTACGAAAGATAGTGTTATTTAGTAACTTCTAATAACTGTTTTTGTTTTGTTTGCTAAAAGAAATTATAACTTCTAATAACTTCAACTAGTTTTAATAAATTAAAAAAAAGGGCTTAATTCTTTCTTAATTTGCACACGCATAGGTGTGCTTTTCCCACAAATATTCACCTTTTTCTAGGGTCTAAAACTCGTAATTCTCTCTTCTTATTCTATTCCATTTCCAGATGGACCAAAATGAGTGCTTTTCGGAGTCTGGGGTGAGTGGAAAGCAAATTCGCTTCTCATCTGGTCACAGCTGGAATGAGACAGACGATCGCAGCATTTCTGCTGGAATCCAAATCAAACAAGAGGGAACTTAATTCATGCCCCAAGTCAAAATCACATTTTGCATATCATGCACGAACAAGAAAACAGTATCCTGTGTTATTATAGTATATAATAAAAACCAGGCCTTTCTTTCACTACAGCCTTTCTTTAACAAGTGTGATTCTTCAGAAGCTCCCAATCCCAGGAGGGGAGATTGGTGAGCCAAGCTCAGGTCGCTATAGACTCGTATCCAGATTTTCTACACTTCCTTCGATAAGTGATGACAAGAGCAAGAACCAGTGCTGCTTGAAACAGAAGAATTACCACCCAAACATAATGGGGTAGCCTCGTTTTCTTGTGCTCCTGCATAATCTCAAGTAACTGCATAGTTAATCTCAGGAGAAGCTGATTAAGTTTCGGAAATTAGTACCTTTTCTAATTACAACTCTTAACCACATCACATGACAGCATATCAATACTCTCATAACACTCTATTTAACATCTTTCACTAATTGGCAGTCCTTCTCCCCCCCCCCCCCCCCCCCTGCGGAGACATTCACTGCCTCGAGAAGATTTGTTTAAGCCACGTTAAGATTGATCGTGTGTTCAAGTAATCCTAGAGGGGAATAAAGGGACAGATCACAAAAGTGGGGCAGGATCTTACATGAACTGAAGCATGAGGAGCAGAGGTAGCGTTTGGTGAGTGTTGATCAGGATCAGCAACTAAGATGTAAAAGAGTCCCATGACACCTGTATGCCTTTGAGCATTGCTATAGTTGGATACAAGAGTTAGAGACTCCCCACTGGAGATTTTAATGGAGCCAGGTTGAGGATAACATGTTGACATTCCAACTATATAGCCAGACTCATTTCCTGGTTCCATTCCCTGCCCATATATTGGAATGGAGGAGCATATAACGCGTCCATCCTAACAAAATTGACGGGAAAGAACAGAAATTCAAATTCAGAAAAACAACATTACTATAAGTGATTGTAATTAAGTGATTATTAAGTGATTGTAATTAGCATTGCAAGCTAATACAGGATAATAATGTTCAACTAATGCAAGGGATACGAGGGGATAATGTTCAACTAATGCAAGAGAGCTCCCCTCTCAATGTAACCTGGAATACTCCAACGTGAATGGACTGCATAGTCCTAGGTGCATCTCATAAAGGATAGAAGATAGAACTAGAAGAGAAGGAAAAAAATTTGTCATGTATCTATCACGTAAGCATGACAAGGAAAAGTTTGAATTAAATTACCTCCCCATAAAGAGTTGAACCGAGACCTCCTGTATGTTGGTGTGCAACACCATAGATGACCTCACCCCCAGATGGCAAAACTATGGATACGCTCTTTGTGTGGATGCAATCATCATGAGCTGTGTTTGTGGAACAGGACTCGATTAGATACTCGATCTGTCAAGATGGATAAAACCTTTTAGTTTCCTGAAAAACTTGAAGAGGAAATGCACTAAAAGAAAGCAAAATGGTTGAAGCAACACCGTCTACTTTGATAATGATAATGTTAAAGTAGAACTTTAACCATTAATCATAAAGTTAACAGGTTCTTGAATAAGATATATAACATCTGCAATAGCCAATTGCTTTTGAAAACAGACTTTAGTACTAGAGTCATCAGGAGTAGTAAATCTTTCTAATCACAATATTCATGATTTCAGACAAGTTCGTAGGACCTGTATATAGGTGCATGATCTTTAAGATGGACTCCATCACAATCAAAATGTAGCTTGAATTCCATTAATGACCTGTTCCTACTTGTGTCAATTTTAGTTTGGTCTACACAAGTTCTTTTCAAACCTAAGGAGACATCATGTAGGTTCTCTCACTCATCCTGTTATACACAGGGAACATGATAAAACTGCCGCCTCTGCATATTTTGGAGGCAGAGCAGTAGTTATTCCTTAAGATGCACGGCTCATACGAAAGTGGTCAATCACCTGGCAGTTGTGACCATTTGATTCTTTAGAATTGTTCGATCTTTGCCATCTAGCAGTTACGTCAAGTATATATATTTTAGCAGGCAAGATGGAGTTGTCCCAGTCGACATACTTGACAGTGTATTTCATGAAGAAGCTTCTCCTTGGACTCCTGTACCCTTCTATAAGTCTGCACTTTGTTTCCTCATAACAGCATCTCATTCCCCCAATATATTCTGGCTCCAAAGCATTGCCATCCTCATCTTGAGTAACATTATACAGATCACACCTGCACTCTGTGCATCCCAATTTATCTTCTGCACCCCTTGTATCAATTGCATGCAAATTGAGTATCCATCCTTCTTCATAGCCTGCAGGAATTTCTGCTGGATTACCAACTTCTATTCCATAAGGATCAGGCACAGCTGTTGCTGTTTTTCTCGTCTCAGATCCAAGGCCAAAGTACTGGGGAAGATGGTCATCACATATCCCATTGTTCTTAATGACAACATAATCTGATTTTTCAGACCTCTGGTTGCTTGAACTGTTTGAATTTTCAACTGCTTTCGGTCGGTAGTATCTCATAGCAATCCAGTGGTGCAGATAAGTTTCATAGAGAGGTACAGGATTCCCTGCCTCATCAACCACTTCAGCAACGAAACTCTTTATAGCAATATGACCTCTTGGAAAGTCAATATTGTGAAATAACTTTTCAGCTACTGATCCTGGTTCCAGGTCAAACTTAGGTGACAAAAATACAGCAGTTTTGATGCCGTTAGCATTGCTTAGATGAACTTGGGTAGAACGAACTATTGCCATCAGTAGCAGTAATACCAAGGAGAATAGCAAAGAGCAATCTGAAAACATTTCCGTCCCTTTCTGTCATCATATCAGGTAAAACAATTATTTTCGCTGTTAGTACATGACATTAAAGTTCATTTTCCTTTCTTTTTTACCCAGAAATTGCAGTTCATTTTCTGAGTCTTCTCTGCATAAAATGAAATGAGGTATAAAACCAGATAAATCAATTGTTGAAGTCTATACTTGATACTCATTTGATTAAAAAATTTGCATGTCAGAATTTGAGGCTACTTCATGGCTGATATGGTACTACCCATACCAGTAGCGAGTTCTGAAAGCAGACGAAGAACAAGTACTTCACACTCTGCGAATTTTTCCTCATTGTCATGTATATCAGAATTCAGAAGAAATTGTTGAGCTTGAATGCATCACAACAATAATATTCAGTTTTCCAGCTTAATAAATGGAATAGTAACAGGATCAACTGGATCAAGCAATTATTATCAACCAGCTAATGGATGGAACAGTATCAGACATGCATTTATAGCACTAAAAAACCAAAAGATCTGGAACATTTTGACATTTAGCGACTGAGATACGCACAAGAATGATGAAATTCTGTTTATCTGGAAATAAAGAAAAGCTAAAGTTGAACTTGCCGTGTAAGAATGCAGAGGAATCCAAGTAGTGATATCAGCTTCAAAGCTTATTACTATTTCTTAACAGTTAGCAAACTCCAGGTTGAAAGAAAACTGACTGAACTTCAAATTCCGTCCACGATACATATCTACAGAGACAGAGAGAGATAGAGAACTACTTTGCTATTGACAAGCACATAGAAGTTCAAATTACAATATTTATGTTCTAGATTCCAGTGATAAATATGACACGCAAATGGTTCAAGCTTTGGACTGTTATCTTGAAAATCCGAGACATAAGAAACAAGCACATAGTAGTTCTTGAAAATCCGAGACATATGAAACAAGCACATAAAGAATTAAAGCACGTAGAAGAGGAAAATTGTGGGAAATAAACAGGATTAACTGAAAATGGATAGCATTAAAACTCTTGACTGCATATGTCCATCTGGTGTGTGCTACATTTATAATCAAGTTTGAATTACGTAGTACAGAAGCAAGAACCAGAGAAGCAGGGAAGCAGCTTTAACCCAAACTAATTTAGAGCCATATTTGAATTCTCAAAATGGGTATACTTACAGAAGCAAGAACCAGGGAAGCAGCTTTAGCTGGAAATGATGAACATAAAGAGCCCAAATGAGGTCAATGATCGTTCTCCAAAGTTTGTACTAGCCTTTTAAGATTATTCAAATACCCATTGTGTGAACATTGGAAAATGTCAAATTGATCGTTTGACAAAAAAAAAAAAGAAGTCAAATTAATATGTCACCTAGAGGCTAGAGCCTCCAATGGAGTGTTTTGAATATACACACAGGCCACAACCACTGCTGAAACCATTGTGGGGAAGTTTGTTAGACATAAAAAAATGAAATGGTCAAAACTCAAAAGAGGAGAAAACAGTTTTAAAAAGGTGGTTCGTTTTCAATTGTCGTCAGGGACAGTGAAATCCATTTTGTCTTTCTTCAGCGAGTCTTTCTTAGTTTTGGGGGAGGGGTCATTCTCCATTCCGCACTACTTCCATATTTTGACAATGCCCAGTAGTTTATTTGAAAGTCAAAGCCATGAATTTTTTGAAGTAGAGAAGCTTGGTTGTGCGTTCTAATATTTCAAAGACAGCGGCTTTCAAACTAGCACAGGATCGCTTTCTGATGGGTACAGACTCCTGTATGTAGGGAATTGAGAACGTGTGTGTTTGATTCGTATTAAACTCTGGCGACTTTTTGTGCAGCTAAATGTAGGAATGGGGTTGCAGTTGTAAAACGATTGTAAATCATCCTGGAACTGGAAGGTTGCAGCTGAAGACTGGCAAATTTGTAAAGAATCCAGCATTTATCCAACCTTTACTACAGATGATTTGTTACCTCGGACAAAATGGTTTGCGTTTCCTGAACTACAATGTCCACTAAACACACACACACACACACACACTGGATGTAAATGCTATGACAAGTCCGGTTTCTGTCAGAGCTCTTCCTTTGAGCCATCACTAGCGATAGCCTTGGAATAAAATTCTCTCCGTTCTATGAGGATTGCACCTTGTGCAGTATCTGAAAATGCTACGTAAAAAGCGAGTATCAAATTCTCAGCTGCTGATGCCATGGTGAACTGTTTCCTCGTATTGTTAAAGAGCTCATTGATCAATAAAACAACTGAAAGAAGATCCATGCTTTTACACACACATATGGCTGCCAGTTACAACCAAACAAATTCTTGCCATATTATTGCCACAGAAAGTACATGTATACGAAGTGGTTTACACTGTTAACAAAGAGGACATGGAGGAGACGAGAGAACTTAAAACCATCTAAAGATGGTGATACAACAGACATCAAAATTAAGATAGACAAGCTCACATCGTTATTGGTTCGTAGTTATCCCCTCTTTGGTTTCTTCTCTGATAAGCAACAATAACAGCAGCAAGAACTGCAATTCCTAGCAGCGCCATACCCACGATAAAATCGGGCGTCAACACTCTCTTATGTATCTGCACAAATCAGAACGATGAGAGCAAGTTTCACTCCAAATTGTTAATTAAAAAGCTCGTGAGGAAAACAGAATAGACTCATACTCCAACTGGAGCATGCTGGGAAGAGTTAAGTTTTGCGGACGAGTCTGAATCTGCAACCAATATGTAAAAAAGTCCCATGACTCCTGTATGCCCTTGTTCACTGCTATAATAAGATTTTACAGTCAGAGTTTCCCCATTGGATATCTTCACAGAACCAGGTTGAGGATAACACGTAGACATCCCTACAATGTAACCAGCCTCATTTCCTGGTTCCTTCCCTTCTCCATAAATTGGAAGTGACGAGCATATAACTCTTCCATCCTGAATAATCCACCAGAGAATCAAGACTCAAAAAAAAGAAAGCAGGGAATTCACTATGAGACCACCTAATCAACAACCAATAAACGGAGATTTCAACATAATGCATAAAAGTAAACAAGAATCAATTATATGAACACATCTAACTGATCCACGAAACTAGACAGAAGCAATAGATGAACTAATTTGATTTTTAGCATCAATTTCATAATTAGATGCCAGTTATTGGCAAAAGCCAATGGCAGCAAGCTATCACAAAAGGCATACTTGCAACTACTCAGCGCGTTTCTTGTCATCATTAGCCTTCTATAGTATAAAGGAAGGAAAACAATAATCTTGGAGGAAATATTTACTAGCAATATGACTTTTGCACAAAGTCATGTAGTTCAACAAGAGATTCATTCTGCCCTTTCCCTTTTATTCTCTTGCCTTTGTACTAAAAAGAAAATATATATAGAAGCAGAAATGACAAGATATACTCAAGACAGGCAACTTGTAGCCATGAACTTAAGAGTACAGACATGCCACGTCAGTATCAAGGAGCATCACACTAATGAGGCTATTGCTTCAAGCCTCAAAAGACAGAAAAGAGGCAGAAGAAGCTTGAAGAATCATAAGATCGAAAGGCAGGTCTTTCCCTAATTGAAATTAGATCTGTGAACGATAAATGATATACAGTTGCGTGAAAGGTTCAAAACACAAAATCAATTGGAAATTTTTTAAGTAATAATCATCCATCTCTTTGCTTTACTAAAATTACATCTAGAACTTCCTCCTTACATAGAATTGAAATGTAAAGATGAAAAGATACCAAATTCAGGGATACATCAATTGCTGGCTAGTTGTTAGGAACATTATACATATCTTAAATTACTTCAATGCAGGAAAACCTTTATTTCTTTTCAAAAAAAAGTAGGAAATATATTAAGGAGCAGACTTATCGAATATGGTTATTATGTCAGAAAGCAGAATCAATTGCCAACAATTTTGATGTATAGCTAGTGAAACGTGAAACAATAAAACTACCTCTCCATGAAGAGTTGAACCAACTCCTCCTGTATGCTGGTGTGCAACACCATAGATCACGTTACCACCAGCAGGCAGAATTATGCTTACACTTTTAGTATGAACACAACCACCTTTTGTAACACCAGCTGGGCAAGACTCGACATCATACTCAATCTGTTTCAAGGTAGTACAGAATATTTTAAATCCTGAATGGCATGTAAAAATTTCACTATACCCATCAACAAGTTTTTTTTAATATATAATTTCTTTGTGGATAAATAGAATAACAAATAGAAGGACTTGACATATTACCAGACAGTCATGTCTTGAACTGATTCCATCAGACTTTTTCCATCTATCTGTCACATCAAATATATACACTCTAACGGGCACAATGGAGCTATGCCAATCAACATATGTTACAGTGTACTTCAAGTAAAGGCTTCGCTTCACACCTTGAAACCCTTCTTTCAACCTGCATCTGGTCTCATCATAACAACATCTCAAGCCTCCAACGTAACTTGGGTCCAGGTTATGGCCATATTCATCCACAGTAACATTATAGAGATCACACCTGCACTCGGTGCATCCTAACCTATTTTCTGCACCCCGTGTATCAATTGCGTGCACATTGAGAAGCCATTTCTCATCATACCCAGCTGGTATCACTGCAGGGTTACCAAATTCTATACCATAAGGATCTGGTACATTGTTGCTTGTTTTTCGTGTCTCAGATCCCAGGCCAAAAAACTGGGAAAGTACTTGTGCACAGACCCCATTATTCCCAGCTGAAATGTAATCTGACTTCTGAAAACCAACCCTGCTATGGTATTTGGGCGTTTCAACACCTCTACGTTGGTAATAATTTACAGCAACCCAGTGATGGAGATAAGTTTCATAAAGTGGGATGGAGTTTCCTGCCTCATCAATCACTTCAGCATCGAAACTCTTAACAGCAATATGGCCTCTTGGGAAATCAATGTCATAGTAATACTTATTAATCACTGATCCTGGTCCGAGCTCAAACTTAGGTGACAAATAGACAAGAGTTTTCACCCCATTTTCATCTGTCCCAGACATTAAAAAACTTTGAATAGTATCCACCAATAACAAAGTAGCCAGGAAAATGAACTGGCATTTCGAACCCTTTGCCATCTTCTTATTCTCACTTCTTTAATATATCTGTATAACATTAGGGAAAAAAGCTTAATGACGAAATTATGTCAGTAATAGCCAAATTGTTCCAAAAAATCTCATCCAATTGCATCACCTTCAACAAACATAGCTTACCCATATCATTAAACTGCATAGCTACACACCAAGATAAACAAAAAAGCGGCAGGATCATTAATTTAACTATGCGGATTATCGCATACTTAACTTGTTGCAGGATCTTCCTATTCTCCTTGTTCTTCTTCACCTCATGGACCAAATTGTTTAGATCATTTAAAAAAAAAAAAAAAAAAAAAGGAAAGTAGGAACATCACAATAAGGAAACAGCAGCATCCGACACCTACAAGTGCAGTGGCTTTAACTTAGGTGGCTAATTACGGACAATAAAAGAGAAAATAAAGAGTCTACAACCAGAAATCAAATTCGTGCATATGCGAACCAGCAATAGCAAGTTAGCAACAGAAAACTACCCATAAAAATTCTCAAATTTCCGGGCCACAAAACTGTAAAGATATGTCTTTCCATAACAATAGACAGTACAGAAATAGAAATGATAAACTTTGACCATAATCCAAGTATCCTCCAGTCTCCACCAGAGAGAGTAGCAACAGAAACAAGAGAACTACTGTTCCTTGGGTAACTTACTTTCAGAAAACTAACCAAGAGCGATGATGGGTTCTTGCTCTAGTTGTTTCCCTTGAATATTTATTACCTACAGTCTACGTTTATGACACCCAAATGTTTTCTTGGAATCATATAAACAAAACAGCATTCAGTAGTAAGTCGAACAATTATCAAAACTATAACAATCAAGAATGTAAAAACAGCTTACCAAATTTCACAGCACATCTGCAAAAGAAGAAAGTTTCAATTTTTTTCTCAAACAAGAGACTGGCGCAGCAGAGAACATGTGAATGTAAAGAACGGGTTTTTAAGGGCATGCTACGTAGTCTTGAGAGCAATCATTATTTTAACATTGGCGGAAAAAAACTGGGTGGCGGATGGATATTTGCGCAGTC